GCTTGCCGTTGCACGCTCCAGCCGTCTGGCCTGCTTTTCGGCTCGTCTCCCACAGCCGACGGGGGCCGCTCGAGGGCCGGGCCCCGCCGTTCCGCGCGCCTCGCTCGTTTGGCGAAGGCCGGCGGCAGGCGGCGGCGGTAAGGCTGCGGGGGATCTGCCCGCGGAAGGTGGTGGAGGTGAAAAGTGAGACGTCAGCATTCTGGGACCCAGGTGTAAGATCGAGGCCGGTTCGGGGAGGGTATCCCATGTTCTTCGTGTTTGTTGAACGTTCCTGTGCGCCCTGGGGAGGGTGCTGTGCGTGCGTTTGGGCTGGCGGAGGGTGTCGTGCTGTTCAGGGATGTTCTTCTGGCCCGGGTTCGATTGGAAGACTCGAGTGCGCCGGAACTCGGGTTTGCCGACGTTTTTTGGCGAGCGCGTCCTGGACTTTGGCGGTCCAGTTTTCGTAGCATGTTTGCAGCCGGAACTCGCGTCAAATTTCAAATTTGGTCTCGTCATTTTCATGATGGACCCGTCAGGCCAACCCGAGACCCCCGAGCCCGAGTCTTGCGTCTTGCCGACAAAGGCTTCTGGAGTCGGCCATCTGGCTGAACTTCTGGCCGCCCTCACAAGTTTCTGCGACCACTTGCCAGCCCTACCCTTACACAGGTTCCATCGACGCCGTCGTATCGGGCGCCACTGCCGAGGTTCACCCGGCTGTCGGAGCCCTTCGAAGTCTGAACCTCAGCCAGCGTGTCAGAAACCCAACCTGCAGGGACAGAGGCTTCCTACGTGGTTGCCTAAAGTCACACCTCCCAGCTCCCGTCCGCCCGACGGGCCGCGCCAGGCGGCATCGGGATCTGCTGCAGCACAGGAACTGCCAGGGCCTGACGCCGCTGCAGGCGGCGGCGGTGTCTCCGCCGTCGTCGCCTCTGTGAGGCCCAGGCGGTCGTTGTGGTGGTGGTGGTGGTGGTGGTGGTGGTGGGCGTCGTCCTCTTGCAGTTCTTCTCTTCGTCGTCTTCCTCCTCCGTACACCATTTCGTCAGGAAGAAGGCGGAAGAGGACGAGGAGGTGGAGAAGATAGATGAGGTAGGAGCTCGCGCCACATCTGGAACCCTATCCGTCCCTCCCACCCCGTGTCCACTGCGCTGTTTTTTCTCTATCCGTGGACGAGTGTCATAGCCGACCTAGACCTCCAACAAACTTACCCCATCGTGTTTTGCCCAATCGGAATTGGGGAGCTGCGTACATAGGAAGAGCAGGTGGCGGGTGAGCAGGAGGATGAGCAGGAGGACAAGGAATAGGAGGAGGACGTGGAAGGACGAGGACGAACAGGAGCAGCAGGAAACGAAGTGGAAGCTGCGGGAGGAGCAGGAGCAGGAGGACCAGGGGAGGCGGAGGAGGGGGAACGACGGAGGCGACAATGATGAAAAGGAACTCGGATCCAGATTAATTTCCCATGCTTGGGCGAGATCGCCATTCTGAACGACGAGAGCTGAGCGCCGGTCCGAAAATGAGGCCCGCGCTGCAGTGGGAGCCCCATGAGAACAACTCGGTTGTAAACAACCAGAGTAAAGACCACCTTTACCCAATTCTGTACGTAAAAACAGTACGCGGGGACCATCTCGGATGGAGTCAGGGCAGAGAGGAGAGTAGTCTTCATAGTGTACATAATGTGTAATTGTTGAGAGGAGGTTGGGTTCGGCCGCCCTCAAGGACGCGTGTCGAGCTCACAACTGCCAGGCGTGTGCCACAACCAATTCCTGCTGATGATGATGCTGATGATCTGATCATGATTATAATGATGATGATGGTGCTTCGGATGATGAGCGGGTCATCGGAAAACCCGTAACCGTCGTCACTTTTGGGCCCCTGAGGCCTGAATGTGGAAGAAGTCTCAGGCGGGAGCTTCGTCCGTGAGTGAATAACGAGGCAATCTCAGGCGGGAGCCCCCACCCTATGGGGCCCGCAGTTCATGTTCCAATCCGAGCGGGCCATCACCTGTATATGTCGTTCTTTTGGCCCCTGAGGCTTGAAAATGGAGGAACTCTCAGACGGGACTCGTCTGTGAGTGAATTTTGAGGAAGTCTCAGGCGGGAGCCCCTTCTCTATGGGGCCCGCAGTTGATGTTTCTTATCAGAGTGGGTCACCGGAAAACTTGAAACTGTCGTCACTTACGGGCCCCTGAGGCTTGAATATGGGGGAAGTATCAGGCGGGAGCTTCGTTTGTAAGTGCATTGCGAGGAAGTCTCAGGCGGGAGCCTCCGCTCTGTGGGGTCCACAGCTCATGTTCGAATCCGAGGCGGGTCAATCTTTAAACCCGCAGTTGTCCGTATGTTTGAACTCCTGAGGCCTGAATATGAAGGAAATATCGGTTCGGCTACGGCATGGGCATCTAGTGGGAGACGCTGGCGAGGTGGATCAACACGCGCGCTCGTCGCGACGCGCGGCGTCTGGGCGTGCATATTTTTTTTGCAGGCCGTGGACGGGCGCAACGATCCAGAGCGATCCCGACGCGGGTCGGCGCCTCCAGAACGTCCCGAGCATGCACAAGACGGGGGACATCCACGGCGTCTTACCGGCCCACGTCGGCAGGGAGGTGCGATTCACGGCAGTGCAGGAATAGCTGAAGAAGTTGGGGTTTGTGTAGGAGCAGCGGGCCACCATCGTGTCCTTCGGGTCCCACCCCGAGGACGAGCAGCGGTGCGAAGAGTGCTCGCCAGGCTAGCTCTTTCGCCCCCGCTTCCTACCGCAGGGGGTATGGCTGCAGGTGCGCGGCTTTATGGGTCTTCCGATTTATGAGGAGGTCGCCGAGCTGCTGCGATAAATCGCCGAAGGCGCCGACGACGACGGCGAGGCCGAGGCGCGGGCGCGGAGCTTGCTGGTGTTCCCAGCGAGCAGGAGTTCACATGGCAGAGTTCGGTGCCGCACGCCGCGCGCCGCTCGGGGTTCACCATGGCGCGCGCGTCCTGCCTCGCCTCCACGCTGTCGCCAGGCCAGACGTTGCGTGGGGGCGTCGCCGTCGACTGCGCGAGGGACGAGGGCGCTGGTCGCGCGGGTATGTCGGGCGACCAGTGGTGGCTGCACCTCCGCGTCATGTTCTCCCGTGCCGCGTGCGCGCGGAGCACGTTGATCTTGCGGCCGCCGCCGCGAGAGTTCTTGGAGCGATGGCCGCTGGCATCCTGGCGGGAGGCGCTCGTGGAGTTCGACATCGGAGCGGGGAAGTCCAGGGCGGAGGCGAACCGGACCCCGGCAGAGCTGGGCTTCGTGCTGCCTCCCGCCTGAGCGCGGCGGCGCCCCGATCGAAGCCCGCGGGGCTGTTCCAACGGCTTGGTCATGCGTGCCAGCGGTTCGCGGGGTGGCCCCGACGGCCCGCCCCGCGGGGCTGTCCCAACGGCTGCGGCGCGCAACGTGGCAATGAGAGATTGAGCGCGTGCTGGCGGGCGCAGCAACGGCGCCGAGGAAAATCGACACGCGCGCTCTGAAGGATGTCTCAAGCGAAACGATACGTTTCTTAAGGGTGTTTCAAGCGAAAACAACAATTCTGTGAGGATGTCTCAAGCGAAACCAAGAATTTTGGGAGGCAGGCTCAAACGAAACGAGCAATGTTTCAAGGATGTCTCAAGCGAAACCAGCAATTCTGCGAGGATGTCTCAAGCGATTCGAGAAACTTGTCGAGGATGTCTCAAGCGAAACAAGCATATACTCGAGGATGGCTCTTTTTCTTCCTCTTCACTTCTTTTTCTTTTTTCTTAATTTATATGTTTATTTCTTTATATATTTCTGTATTTCTTTTTTTTTTCCTCTCTCTCCCCATGCCCCCCTGAACTTGTTTATCCCTGGTGTTGATTATCCATGGCAAGTGAGGCACATGAGCTACCCTACACGAGCACTCAAACAAATCAATTTTCAGAAAGCGTTTGTAAATTAAATATAATGGATTTGGAACTTGAAATTTTTGCTCTTTTTCTTCCTCTTCTCTTCTCCTTCTTTTATCTTAATTTATATTTTTTATTTATTTATATATTTCTTTCTTTCTTTCTTTTTTCCTCTCTCTCCCCATGCCCCCCTGAACTTGTTTATCCCTGGGGTTGATTATCCACGGAAAGTGAGGCACATTAGCTACCCTACACGAGCACTTAAAAAATGTTAATTTTCATAAAGCGCTTGTAAATAAAAACTTAAGACATTTGGGTCTTCAGATTTTTTGTTTTATCCTCCTTTCCTCTCCTCTTCTACTTCTCCTCCTCATTTCTTCTTGTCCTTTTCCTTTTAAATATTTCTTTTATGTATTTCCCTCAACTCTCTCTTTGTTTTCTTTATTTTTTTCTTTATATCTTTCTCTCTCCCCATGCGCCCCTGAACTTGTTTATCCCCGGGGTTGATTATCCACGGAAAGTGGGGCACATGAGCTCCTACACGAGCACTTTTTTTTTGAAGAAATCATAAAGCGTTTGTAAATAACATATAATATATTTGGAACATGAAATTTTTGCTTTTCCTCTTCCTCTCCTCTTCTACTTCTCCTCTTGAATCGTTCTTCTCCTCTTCATTTTCATTCTTTCTTCTCTCTCTCTTTCTATCTCTCTGTCTCTCTCCCCCCCATGCCCCCCTGAACTTGTTTATCCCTGGGGTTGATTAGCCATGGAAAATCTGATAGTTTTTTATATTATTATTTCCTCTCTGTCTTTTTTCTCTCTCTGTTTCTCTACCTCTCTCTCCTCTTGCTCCTTTCCTGTCTTCTCCTTTCCTCTCCTCCTCTCCTTCCTCTCTTGCTTTTCATTATCTCCTCTTCTTCTCTCTCTCTCTCTTTCTTTCTCAATTTTCATAAAGCGTTTCTATTTAAAATCTGATGGATTTGAAACTTGAAATTTTTGCTTTTCCTCCTCCTCCTCTATCTGTCTTTCTTTATATATATATATATATATCTTCTCTTCTTCTTATTCTTCTTCTCATTATTCTTCTTATGTATTATAAGTTTTTTTTTTGAGGAAAAATCTGCGAAGTGTGTTATATCTTTCTTTTTTTTTTGTTTTTTGTTTTTTTTTGTTCTTCCTTCTCTCTCTCTCTCTCTCTCAGCACAACCCCCCCAGCACAACCCCCCCCAGCACAACCCTCCAGCACAACCCTCCAGCACAACCCTCCAGCACAACCCTCCAGCACAACCCTCCAGCACAACCCTCCAGCACAACCCTCCAGCACAACCCTCCAGCACAACCCTGCACAACCCCTCAGCACAACCTCTTGAGGTTTATTATCGTCGGCAGTTTTTTATCATCGGCAATGGTCGATAGCAACTCCTGAGCTCTCCGGGAACACGGCGGCGCGCAAATGATACGCATGTTTTTGAAGAGCTTCATTTTGAAACATGTATATTTTATTTAATTGCGAATTCCATTGAAATCTTTTCGAATTTGCGAAATCGAGCCGTCAGGCGCTTGAATGCCGCACTGCGCTCGAGATTTAGGCGAAAGCGTGTGCGACGCAATTTTCTCATGACGCGCATTTTTTTTTGGGGGGGGGGGAAAAACCTTATTTTGACAAAAAATACTATATTTGGTTGCGAATTCCATTGAAATCCTTTCGAAATTGCGAATTCGAGCCCGCACGCGCCTGAATGCCACACTGCGTTCGATATTCGGGCAAAAGCGCGTGCGACGCAAATTTCTCATAAATGCGTCGCGTGCATAAATCTCGAACGCAATGTGGCCTTCAAGCGCCTGACGGCTCGATTTCGCAATTTTGAAAGGATTACAATGGAATTCGCAATTGAAAACAGTTTTTTTCTTTCAAAATGAAGTTTTTTTTCAAAAAAATGCTTATCATTTGCGTGCCGCCGTCTTCCGGGAGAGCTCAGGAGTTGCGATCGACCATTGCCGATGATAAAAAACTGCCGACGAGAATAAACCTCAGCCGATGACAAAAATCTGCCGACGATAATAAACCTCAGAGGAGCGCGCGGCGGGAGAGAGAGAGAGAGAGTCTCACCTCTCTCTCTCTCTCTTTCTCCCTCCCTCTCTCCTCTTTCTCTCACTATCTTTCTCTGCTCAAGGTGAGCTGCTGAAGCAGAGCTGCTCAAGCAGATGGCTGCTCAGAGAGCAGAACCAGACAATGAGACCTTCGAGAATAAAGAACACAATTATTTCGAGGATGTCTCAAGCGAAATAAGCAATAGTCTGACGGTGTCTCAAGCGAAATAAGCAATAGTTTCAGGATGTCTCAAGCGAAATACGCAATAGTTTCAGGATGTTCAGGCGAAATCAGCAATATTTTGATGATGTTTCAAGCGAAAAACACGATTATTTCGAGGATGTCTCAAGCGAAATAAGCAATAGTTTGACGGTGTCTCAAGCGAAATAAGCATTTTTCTGTGGATGTCTCAAGCGAAACAAGGGATTTGTCGAGGATGTCTCCAGCGAGATAAGCCATTGTTGAGGATATTTTAATGAAGACTAAACGCCAAGGATGTCTCAAAACGTGCTCGGTTTGGTCTCCTCTGGATCATCTCTTACTTCGAGATTATGCTGAGGTCTGGTGGGCTACTTTGATTATCTCCCCCTGAACCCCGAACTTTATTATCCCCTAGTGTTTATTATCGTGAGCATGGGGTTATCCAGATTCGCCGAGAGGATTCTCATGCGGGGTCCCATTGTCGGAGTAATTCATACTCGTCGGATGTTTTTTTGTGCATCCTATGTGTGGGGGGTGCCCTCGAGTGCTCTTTTGGTTGTGGGTGTTGTGGCCACATGGGGTTCTCATGTTCTTGAAGGACGTTATTTTGTCTTAGGTCCGTCTGTACTTTCCCCGACATCGGATAAATACAATTTAGTTCGACTGCTTCCTTCTGGTTCGGCAAGAGGCAGGCTGAGGAGAAGATAAGCAGGAGGGGTGTCGACGACCTTGCCGACGATCGCGGCGACGACGATGGTGATGACGACTACGACGACTACGACCGTTGCGACGACAGCGATGACGAAGTCAGAAGATGACGACGGCGCAGACGGTGCAGTAAAGCGCGGGCGCGGTGGCCCGTCCTTGAGAGAGCGCTTCGCTGGTCCGTGCCCCGCGCAGAGTGCCAGCGGGGGGCCCAGCAAAACCTCGGATTGGGCCCGAATAGGCACATCGACGGGCCGAGGGTCAAGGGGTGATGATTCGGTGGGGCATATGCGAAGCAGCTGGAGCGATCAGGGTTAGAGTCGGCTGGGCGTCTGGGGTGGCCCAACACTGGTTTCCGGCCAGCATGAAGGGGGGGGGGCAGGTTCGAGGTGCTGGGTTCGACAAGGACCTTTGCCTTGTTAGGTGCTGGGGTCTCCTTTTCGGGCACCAGAGACCGTCAAACACGGGTCCGGGGTGACAAATTGCACCAGATGGAGCCTGGTAGGGGCTTGGGATCGATTCTGAGCGTATTTGGCCTCGTCCCCCCTTTTGATTCCGGCGGCGAGCGCGGGGGGGAAGCGAGAAGGAAAAAGTCTTTTCAGAAGGTTCGGAAGTCCTTGGCCATCCGAGTAATTTTCTAAGTCTTTCCCGATGACAGAAAAAATGTTACCAGAAGGCGCGAGGGTTTCTGAGAAGTCCCGCCTTCTGAGAAGACCTTCTTTCTCACTTCTCCCCCTCGCTCGCCGCCGATGATTTATTTTCTGGGGCCCCATCCAGCTCAGACCTCCTCCTGGCCGCTTCCAAGATCGGGGAACCATGCAGGCCAGTTGGCGCTGCACGCTGCGCGTGCCCTCCTCTCGCGCCTGCTCTGCCGCCGTGGTCTCGTGTGACGCTCCCGGCTTGTTTGGTGGTATTCTGTTCCACGTCGCGGAGCTCCTCTCTTTTTTTTTTTTTTTTTTGTTTTTGCTTGTGTTTTTGTTATGTTTTTCCTTGGAAAACGATCAGGGAGTCATGCAGGCCACGTCCCAATGTCCTTCCTGCTTCTGTGATCGAGGTCTCCCTCTTTAGTTCCTTGGGCGGGGAAAGCTCTGATCTCCCCTGGCTGCCCTCATGCCTCGTCTCTGTATCAGTTTCTTCCGAGTGCCTGTGCGTCGTTTCCAGGGCTTGAGGATTCAGGTAGCGTTATGCGCATAGACGCTAAGGGACACGTTTTTCAGTTAGTGATGTGACTTGAATTTGTTTCATCCACATTTGTTTGATGTGCTTGATTTGACGCAACCGCATATGCCTTGGGAGGTAAGTGATCATGGAGATGCGGCGAGCCAGTGTGCAGTTCCTCTGTCTGACTCGTCCATCCAGAAGCTGTGCCTCTCAACCAGTGCCCGAAAGCGTTCGTCGTGATGCAGCTGCCTGGAGCAAGTTTTGCCACTGTGCCAGCGCAGAATTCAGTGTGGTAACGTTGCGAGCACCGCCTAGGAAGCGGTAACATGTGCCACCTCTGGTTTTTATTCCTTGAGGGGCAGCGCTTGGCATACTACCACGCATTATCGTGCCAGGCGTCACGGCGGCGAATGTTTATGCGAGGCCGATGCTGTGTAATTGATTCATTCACGACACCGTTTATGCGCTTATGCTGCTGCTGAATTGTTGACGCTTCGCGTATCCCCACCAGCCCATCCAGAAACGATGCTCAGGGGAGTTGAGGTGATCAGGGAAGTCGGGGAGCATGCAGAATAACAAAGGGCGGGGGAAGCTGTCACAGACCCCGAGAGGGGGAGGATGGAAGAGGAGTCGTCGTCGTCGTCGTCGTCGTCGGAGGAGGAGGAGGAGGAGGAGGGGGAAGAGGAGGAGGAGGAGGAGGAGGAGGAGGACGGAGAAGGAGGAAGAATCGGAGGAGGAGGAGGAGGAGGGGAAGGAGCTTCTTGGGGGTCTTTTGAGGGCCTCTTGGAGGGCTTTTTGGGCGCCTTGGGGCATCTTGGGCGCCTCTTGGGACCCTCTTGAGGCGCTCTGGGGAGCCTTCGGGGCGCTTTTGGGGCCATCTTGGAGGGAGTCGATCAAACAAGAGGGGGGGTTTAATTAGCGCCCCCCCTCGGAAGCCCCTAAAATCGCCTCTTGGACCCCTCTTGGAACGCTCTTGGAGTGCTCTTGGGCGCTCTTGGGGCCGTCTTGGGGCTCTTTTGGGGCTCTCTTGGGGCCCTCTTGGGCCATCTTGGAGCCATCTCCAGGCCTCGGATGGCCATCGGAAGCGAAAAGGCGAGAAAGCAAAAATCATTGATTTTCCTTAGGTTTTGGGACGATTTTGGCCTCTTCGGGGCCTCCTTGGGGAGCTGTTTGGCCACTTGGAGTTATCTTGGGGCCGTCTTTGGGCTTCTTGGAACCATCTTAGGAGCCATCGTGAGCGATCTTGCGCTATCTTGAGCCATCTTGGAGCTCATCTTGGGTTCTCTGAGGCGCTCTTGGAGCCGTCTTGGGCCATCTTGGACGCTCTAACTACCCGCGGCCCCCCCCGTCCAGGTCCAGGGGAGGGGGTAGGGGGAGGGGTAAACCCCTCCCCAAGGGGGAAGAGGGAGGGGTGGAAGAGGATCTGCTCTAGACCACCTACGCCCAGAGGGCTGGTGGGATTGTGGCATTGCTGTCGCTCAAGAGGTGGCACCCGTCATTTTAGCTTCACTCTTCTGCCCGCAGGTCCTCAACGAGAGGGCGCCCTCGTCTCTGAGGGAGTTGCTGCTCGATGAGGATTGCAGGGCGCACGCGCGCGCGCGTTTGGCGCCAGGCCACGCCGTGCCTGAGATCCGACGTTGTGAAGCACTCACGACGCCTTCGTCCCTCGTTCTTCGTCCCGCGTCCCCCGTTCCTGGTCCCTCCCCCTCCGTGCCTCGTCCCTCGTTACGTCCCTCGTGTCTCTTCCTCCTTCTCCTCCCTCCTTTCTCCTCCCTCATCCCTCCTCCCTTCTTCCTCCCTCCTCTCTCACTCCCTCCTTCGCCCCCTTTCTTCTCCAACGTTCCGTCGCCCTCATCCCTCGCCTGGGGGGTCCAGTGCGGCTCCCTCTGCGGAATCTCCCGAGAGAGTTCGCGCTTGTGTTGCAGCGGGGAAGCTTCAGTGGGGGCCTATCGAGAGCGTCCTGGTAGCTTTCTGGGGACATCTTGGG